GTGCATGAACAAAAAAGGCAATTTACTGCTACAGAAAAGAGATTCCTTGACAGTTTTTGCAATGACAGTTTGAGACAACGATGTTGGCACATTGTTGCCAGATGGAAGATTCATTTTACTGGCCTCTTAATTAACAACTGGTAAACGGTTGCACCCAAATACACATATTTACATATGCAGAATGCTTACTGTGTCACAATGATGCTAATGGCTTAGAGAGTGAGTGTTATTAATGTGGCCTACTAATGAGAAATGTCAGAATAAATTATCCTCTCTGGAACTGCAAGCTGTCTATCTGCCACCTGCATAGGAGCTCCCGAGTTCAGGTGTCTGTCTCTTGAAAACTGTGCCCTTTTGAAAGCTGCAAAGGGAGCTGTAAGAATTTGGATAGTTTAGGAGGGGAAAGTCCTGCTATCTCTAGAGGAGGCTAACTGAAGGACAGGTTCCCATCCAAGTTCTATCCCATACCATGGCTATATATATGTAAGATATCTGAAAAGGCTTCTGGTAGAAATACTCACAGCTTTCCGTGTAAAAACTTCATGTATTTTACAAAGTTGTGTGTGCATCTTGGGAAAGGAGGAGAGGTCATAGAGATGAATGGGCTCTGCTCCCCAGCTGCCATAATTCATTGCCTAGTTGGTACACAGCCCATAGTTTCATAATATATTAAGAATAATCTGTCATATTTCTGTGTTACCTGCCACCTGAGAATCTCAAACAAGGTTTTTTAAATTGCACCTCACTGTTCACAGGAGTGCAATGATTTGTGCTTGAACGTACAACTTATGTATGGACAACCTAAGGGGTCACAGCAAACAGTATTTCCAAGATGCTAGGGAAGAAAAACGACTTCTGAATCCTGGCAGTACTGCTGGTCATCTTACTTGTATTTCTTTCTGTTGGTACCACTGATCAACACTAGTATGGAAATCCAAAAGTTAATTTGTAAAACTGAGTGAGATGACGGCAGCAAACCGCTTTATGGAAGGCAATCCAAAAAGGAGTGTTAAATTATTCACTTAAGTAATAGCCAGGTGTAAAAATGCAGGGTAGGAAACAGCTGGCAATCCAAAATGGTCATAAAATAAACATTAGTTAACAGTATCATAGTGTTCTTTAAGTAAGTCAAATGCAATTCTGGAGTGTGTCAGCCTTGAAATGAGAAGCTCTTCTTGCATAGGAAGAACCAGGGCTATTATGCCCGATTTTAGCACTTTTGTAAGAGTGTCTATGGGCCAGTCCATGAAGGCTCATCAGAGAACAGAGAGAATGCTTTGAGGGCTACAAAGTTTGGTCAAAAAGGAAAGATACGACAAACTCAGGTTCTGTAGTAAAGAAGACAATGGAGAGTCTTCAGATATAAAGATTGTCTGAGACAAAGTGAAAAAGATTATTTTACTTATTTGTGGTTCATTAGGCAGAAATAATGGATTTAAACTGCAGAGAATTGGATTAGCTCTCAGGAAAATATATTTACAGTAAGGATAATGAATAGAGTAATAAATTTCCAGAGGAGAGTATTTCCCTCTGCCTCTGATTAGACACACATCTGCCAGGTATAGCTGCAGTAGAAATGAGAAGCTGGACACAGTGATTCTGGATGTGCTGTCCAGCCCTGTGAGGGTTCTCCTATCTCATATTTAGAGCCTGTTTAAAACTTGTTTCTGTCTTGCTACTTCCATCATAAGAGTAGCTGAGGATAATCTGAGGTGCTGCCTTTGCTTTTGTCTCTTTTGATGGGCAGGACAAGCACGTTTCCCTGTGGTGTTGTCAGGCTAAAATTTACATCCTATTCACTCCTGTCTTACAGCACTTTTTTTTTGCCTGGCTCCAACTTTGCATTACTCACACTCTTCCAGCTCTGGCCATTACCTACTGATGTGCTTTATTGCTGAAATGTGTATGATGCCCAGGACTCTTAAGAAGGGCCTGGAAATATTCTTTTCACTTCATGATTGCCTTTCTTTCACAGCTAATACTGCAGCATGTTTTGCCAAAGATGTTTATCCTATGAAGTTGTTCAAGTAATGTTGTATGTGGAAAGGACTATTTCTAGCATAAAAACAACTTTCAAGAGGTTAGGGTTTTTCCTAGGACACAACCAATCTTTTCTCAGTATCTGCACAGCACAATCCTACTAGAGTTTTGTCACATTAAAAATAATATTGTGATTTCTAAACTGTGTTTTGAGTTTCTTTACATCTGTCTACATTTTGAAGTTTTCCAATTAAAAAAAAAAATTATTACAGCATTAATTTTACGAAGAAGAGGGACCTAACATACCAGGACATTACTGTAGCCTAGCAACTATGCTATTATATTTTTGCTTGTCTAGTTTTAAATGTTTCAAAATTATAGGGAGTTATAGTTATTACTGATATGACAAATAACAACTTTTGTCAGTGTCACTCTGATAACCTTTAATTGAACTTAATTTATAATTTGGTTAATGAACTCGTTCATTTGTAATGCTGAGTTCTACAGGAGATCTGGTACCTGGTAAGCAAAGGAGACAATTTCGAAACTAAAACTGGGGGGCAGATTGCTTCCTTCTGTCCTGAATTTAGAGTTGCTGATATTTTGAAATAAAATAAATGCCTTCTCGTTGTAAATAGATTTCAGTTTCCTATAAAAATAAATTAGTTTAGAGGTATCTCTGATAGATTTGCTGTGTACAGCTCCCTTTTTATTGTTTTTTAAGTATGTTTAAACCTTACTTCTGTGCTCTCTCACCATCGTTGCAATACTTGAGGAAAATCTATAATGTGTTTTTCACTGTTTTGTTCAACTCTGTGAATTGTGTTCTCCTCATTCTGCTTGATTCCAACTGTTTGTTTTTATCTTCCATTGCATCCTGTCTGCAGGCTTCATGGGGAACTTTTCCTCTTACTACGCTAACTCTGTGGTCTTACTATGCTAACTCTGATTGTGAATCGAGAAACTCCCTTGATACAAAAGCAAAAAATGAAATCACAATAAACCATGTATTTATCACAGATGCTAATTATTTTCCCCTTTGTTTTTATTTTTGTGCAGATTGTTTCTCAGAGGAAACTCTCCAAGTCCTTACTCAAACATGGCAACACAGCAGGAAAGTCATCTATAACAGTAAGTCAGTTTTAAACACACTCTTGTTTTCCTGTTATTTAGAAATATCTAATGTGACTAATTCTCCCTAAAAGCATCCTGCTAAGTCGCCAGAACAGCCCTTGATTGAGAAATGTATTTCAGTTTTTTATTTGATTACTCGTTCTGTTTCTGTTTGTTGTAAGGAAATGGCAACAAATAATGTACGATTTGTACAAAAGCCACAATATTTACTACAACTACTACCACTTCTAAGGCACTTGGATGACAGGAAGAAACTTGTGCTGCTTGAATACTTGTAGTTGAAGGACTAGAACATTCAGAAATTCGTTTGACCTGCTTTGACACATGAAGGAGCTTAATGTTTATTTTCCCTTGGGCTTTTTCCAGTTTCTTAGGGGAAAAAAAAGGGTGGAAAAAAATAAAGAAAACAAACTCAGAAAGTACATGCACCCAGCAACTTCCAAAGTTTGATGAGACTAGTTTTAACTGTGTTGTAATGCAATTATGGGCTGTATTGTTATAGCTCCATGTGCTTCTCTGTGCTGGCTTGTTTGGGAGATCAGGAGGTTTTGTTTCTTACATATCTTCCTTGGTGCTTGGCTGCAAATTGATATGCCTAAATGCATACAGTAAACTCATTTTTGGTCTGGGGTTGGAAAGGAATTCCCCACTCCTCTGGCTGAATACAACTAGGAGCAAATTTTGCTCCCTAAGTAACTTGGTGTGGTTTGGCTGTTGGGTCGTATCTGGACATACTTAATCTCATCCGTCCCTCGGGTGTTCTGGACTCCCCTCCTGTTCTTTAAGGAGCACAAAGGAGTTTAGTCTTGTGAAAACACAAATGTTCTAATACAACTAAAATCATTAGGCTTGTTAGGGGAGTGTTCTGGCAAAAATTAAATCACTGTGCTAAACAGAAGATGAGAGAAAATGAGTTAATAGTCTCTGCTGGCCTAGCACTGGATGATAACCATGAAATATGGGACCTCGGCTTCCCACCAGCTGTACTAAAGAGCGAGCTGACTTTACTCAAATAGGAGAAAGCTGAACACAGACAAAAAACATTGTGTGAAAACTTCGGTGTCTCAACAGAATAAGTAAAACCAGATTATTTATCATTATTTCTTGACCTGGGGACATACCAGGTGTTCGTCAAGTATGGGCATTATACGTACTAATTTCCTAACTTGTTCAGTGTACTGAATTGTGAGTTTTTCATAGGATTTTGAAAAGTCTTGTCTTGGCATGTTTTACTGAAATTTTTTTAGCCCTTTAACTGAGCAATATCTCATCTACACAATTTTATAATACAGCTGTGGGATGCAAAAGAACATAGTTCAGCTTCTGCAGTTGGAAGTCTGACAAACTTTATAAGACCAGGTTCATTATTTTCAGTTAAAAGTAATTGTGAAACTTGGTATGGAAATCCCACAGCACTGTTGGCCATATACAGCTTAACCATATCTTTTAAACCATCAGTCTACACGGAAGACAAATGTGTCATGCTTTACGGGCCAAATTTCCAGCAAGCTCAAGTTTGCCTGAAAGAGGCTGCATGTAAATATTTTGCATGGAGAAGCACCACAGCTCACTGCTGTGAGATGTCCCAGCTGGAATAGTCTCAACTCATGGAATTTTACCTAATTTAACATTTTGCCAATCAGCATAAACTTCTACTGATTCTGGTACTGAGAAACAAATAAGGAAACAAAAACAAAAACTCTTAGGGAAAATACCTCTCCTCCCCCTTCCCTGTGATCCATTTAGGGTTGATTGACAAGGCACAGTAACATGATGCAAAGTGATTAAGGTTTGTGGGCACAACAAGGTGACATCCATCAGCTGAGGGTGGGATTCACTGAATGCCCTCAACTCTTCCTGATGGCAAAGAGAAACATTAACTTGTACCTCACTTCAGTCTCCTAAATGGGGTCTACAGTCTTCACAGTGAAAAATGGCATCACTCTCCCTCTTCATTACACCATGCAAAACTCAAATGTAGCTTTCCATTTAGGTGATCGCTGAGGAGTTGTCTGGCAATGATGACTACGTTGAACTTTCATTCAGTGCACGGAAATTGGATGACAAGGTAAGCTGCTTGATATTAACCTTACCAAAAGAAATAAGAATGCCTGCAAATACAATTTGATGAGATTTTCCCTGACAGATATTTTTTGCCTTATTTTATTAAACACATCAGAGTTTTCAGATGGATGTTCACAACGAGGCTTTCCTCAAGTTGCAAAGTAATTAAAAAGAGACCAAACTCAAGGGAATCTAATTAAAACCAAGACAAGTTAATTACACTACAACCAAGACAATTTAATTATGTAAAATGCCACAGATCAGATGTGCTTAGAGAAGTGAACTTTCTGTAAGTAGTCTAAGATGATATCGTTGAAGTGTCCTAAAATAAAGCTAGAAAACTTCCTAACAGCAGTGTCATGATAGACGTTTTGTTCAACAAAATGTGCTTGAATATGAGAAATATACTCTCATGTATCTGTTAAAAAATTTTCCCCTCTTTAATAAGAAAACTCTCCACTGTCTCAAACATGACTCAGGATTATAATGACTACCTCTTTCTGAAAATTTCTTATGTTGTTTAGCAATTTATTTATAATAAGCATCTCAAGCAACTTACAGCCCAGGAAATCCAGATTTTAACTCTCCGCTATTTCAGTGTAATAGCAGGATATGATTATTTGAGGTATATAGTCCCTTCTTATATATGAAGATGCATCTAATTAGAAGCATATGGTAACACTGTACAAAAGTTTAGGATTGTGATGCTCCAAGTGTGTTCTTGTAAACATTTGACATGTGAGTAGCTTAAAATCAAATCAGTGAGACTACTTTTGGATACATAAATCAGATTTTCAAGATGAGGTTGTAACTTATGAAAAATATTTTTGGTTTATAGTACCGGAAAATCTCAGGCAAGCAGAAAGTACACAGGAAGATTAATAGTACTGAGATTTATTTAGAACATACAGTTAAATAACTTTACTGTGTTCAGGATCATTAGCAATCATAAATGATCTGGACCTGATTTTGCTTCTCATCTGAAAGAAGAATTAACTTCTTCTTTCAGACTTGCTGGAATCTTAGTGGGTTTGAGTTGCATGGTTTATTTCGGTGTCAAAATGTAGATTTAAAAACCTCTCTTTAGACAGACATCTTTAGAAGTGATTTCCAAACTTGTACTCAAGTTTCTTCCTATTCCACATGCTGTCACATCTAGAAAAAGGAGAGGATATATACAACATAAGACTCCACTTAGCCATTGCTTTTCCACAAATGTTGAATGTGATCTGCTCTAAATGTTATGATTGCTTATGGTTCTTGTTAGTATAAATTACAATTGCAATTCTGAGTAGGGTCAGTGTTGTTTGAGCAACAGCTTTAGGGAGTGATTAAAATACTTCAGGGGGATAAGTTGAGAAAGATCAGTCCAAAATATTGCAACAATATTCTTTCCATCCGTCACCATCACTGGTATCTTGAATGGACAGGGATTTCCTTCCTTCATTCTTTTAAGGAGAGCTCCTTGAAAGAGGATCTAGATTGTGGTACTTAAATGTATACATTTCCTCTGCTATGGAAAAATATGTGAACAATAATTGTAGGGTTTTTTTAAGAGTTAACAAAATTCATTCGTATAATTTAACAGGCACCTAAAACTGCAAGAATTTTAGAGAAGCTACAAAACAAGTAAAGCCTGCTCATTTCTTCTGGGAGGGGTGGCTAAAACATTCAGTGAAAAATTATAGGAAAGTGACAGGTATGAAAGTTTCCTTTAGTTAACTGACTTTGCAGAGATAAAGGTTACACTTTTTTATTGCAGTGCTTGTTTGGAAGGTATAACTGCATTTTCATGTTTTATTGAAGCCCTGACAGCTCAGATGGCACATCTTTGTTTCAAGAGCTCCACTGAGAACACTTCACAGTGGAACAATAACTTTTGGGAAGGTTCTATTGCATTAATAGCTGTGTCACAATTACCATAACAAGCAGCTATGTTTTTTTATGATAGCTACAATAAATTGTGAGCACTGAGAAGGGCAAACTGCTTTTCCTGGTCTGAGAGAGGCAGTTATTGTTTGGGAAAGATTCCCCAGCAAATGTCTGCAAAACACAAGCTAATATTGCTTTTTTTTTATATAGTTCTCTATTATTAAACTACTCCCCCCAAAAAGTCTCAAATGCCTTGTCTTGCCGCTGAAGAATTTTCAAAATTTTAGTCTTTTGGTACTTCAACCCTTTTTTGAGAGACCTTTGACTTAACCCCTAAGCCTGAATTCTAAAAAGTGTCATACTCTAAATATTAATCTCTAATGGATGTGTCAAACTAGGTGCTTAGAAACAGAGGTAGGTAAAATTTTAAAGGTTAAGTCATGTACATGTGTTATTACTGTGTAACTGCTGCACATACTGAAAGAACGATGTGCATTATACCACTACCAAATGAATAATGTTAATCATTTAAATATTATTAAAATAGCACCACATTATATTGCTGCTATTCTCATTTCAGAGGATATTCTTCTGAGATAATGCAAAGCTGTTAGATGCAGCATAACAACCAGAATGCTTTGAAAATGTTAATAGCTATGAAAGCAAATGTTTCTTCATCTTGTCATTTTTTACTTATCACAAAGCATCTTCAATATAGAGGGATTTTTTGTTTGTACCTAATTCTGAAAGGAATTAGGCTTTGTTTTTGGATTAAAGAGGGAGTGATATAAGCCATCATCCAGCATTAAAATCTTTCCCTTTATGTGGTATTACCTTGGTAGTTAAAACCAGATATTAAAAATTATTTCCCTTGTGCTGATTTGCTATTTCAGCTTTATGATACTCAGCTAGGAAAGATACTACATTTTGAGTCCTAGATGAAATATTGGTTTTCTTTCTGAATTCTTCTGCTCTCCTGAGTGCATTCTCAGGATGTATGATTTTGAGGCGTTTCCTTTCAAAAAACTTATCAAACTCATGTTTGATAAGAAAACCTGCTAATATTAAGCTTTTACTGAGCTTCAATCAGTATACCTATGTGTGAGAAGAGGTAACTCTATGCACTCTGGATTTTAGTGTCACTGTGATTTAACCAGCATCCTCACTCTCTGCTTGTTCTTGCTATGCACTGATAATCTGGCAGAAAACACTGTCTATACTAGCAGTTTCAAGTGCTGAGTGGAGTCCAGATACTAAGTCTATAGTTAATCATGTGCTCTTTTGAAGAGGAAAATTAAGAAAGGACTTGAAACTACAGGAAATGGGGTTAGTCCGTTTAAATCCTGCTCTTTCAGCATTGCACAATCAGAAATTTGAAGCTTTTCCCCTCTAGCTATGGAGGGTTAACCCCCAGTCACTCCTCTGCCTCTGCAGCCAGCATGTCCAGAATAAATAAGATGCTGAAACAAAAGTGTCTGTGGCCAAACTGCAGCAGTGCTATAGAAAGCAACTTAATCTGGGTTTATGTAAGAAAGTTTAGGGTTGTTAGCTGAATGCAAGGCTAGGGGAAGGTGTTCTGCAGTGCAGTGGGTATATGCATATGAACCTCAGTTTCTGTCACAGATTTACTTTTACCTAGAGATACCAAGTTATTTGTTGCATTCCCCTCTCTGTGTTTGTCATCTTAGCATGGACCATGTTATCACATCCTAGAGGACTTGCTTCTCTAACCATCTTTATCCATCCTGACAGCTGGTAGCACAGTGCCTTGGCCAATTAACTTCTGTTTTGAGAGTGTGGGTGAATAGTGTGAAATTCAACCCCATAAGCTTCAAAGTTCAATACATCATAAACTGGATGTTAAAACACCAAACAGGTATGGAGGCAGAAAGAAACAAGCTACGTGGATGAAGGGTCTAAAGCTCAGGAATCTGGACTAGGTGTAAGAAGGGAAAATGACATTTTACAGTTCTGCATGCTATGATTAAATAGGCAAACTGGGTACAACAACAGTGCCACAGGAAACCTTGTGGGACAAAGACAAGAATGAAATATTGCTGAGAGACACTAAGAGGTCTCTCTAAAACTGTGCTGGCTCTCCTTTGTCATTAGTAGCCAGGGAAGCACCAATGTGCTGTGCCTGAAAAGCTCAAAGAAAAAGAATCCTCAAGAGTAACCTGTCCTATATTTTATTTTAGGATTTTTTCAGCAAATCTGATCCTTTCCTGGAGATTTTTCGTGTGAATGATGATGCAACCCAGCAACTTGTTCATAGGACTGAGGTAAGGGATGGAGTTGGACTTAATTTTCAAGGACATAGATGGGCTTTGAGGAGGAATAGTTTATGCCTCCCATGTCACGAATGGTATTGCTAACACATTTAAAAACACTTCCTAATGTTACACTCTAGTTTAATTATTAACTAGTTAACTATCAGGTCTTGACTTATGTATCTTACAGTAAAGGCAGATGATACTGAAACCAAAGGTCCAAATTTAATCAAATTGGCAGATACTCTGTTTGAAGGTCCATAGTTACAGATATGACATTTAGCTGAAACTGTGCTACAGACAGTATCATATTTTCCCACTAATGCTATGTTGCATCTTCACCTCCTCCCAGGGTGCTGGTGCTAAAGAGATTTGTAATCTGAGTACTTTACATTTTTTTCTTGTGTCTCAGTGATATTACTGCTTCCATGCTAATGGAAAAATGGAAAAAAGCAGCATTTAGGTGTACAGGATGGAGCTGTGATGGGTATTTGGATTTATAAGCCTGTTATGCATTCCATAAATTCTTTCTAGCAAGGGAAACCATATGCCTGTAAATTGATGTTGCCCATCCCTACTGCCTACTCCTGCATCTCTTCCATGGCTTCCAGTTCAGTTCTACAACTTGTCCCTTGCGAGTTATTCTCCTGCTGAGGCACAGCAGTGCTGGAATAATCTCTTCAGCGTGATCTACACATGATATATGTGGGGAAAAATGGGTCTATTTCCTACCTGTGCTCCTTTTGGGGCTTTCCAGAGGAGTGTTGCAAACTGCAGGTTGCTCAAGGACACATATTCCATGCATGTTGTTCTGAAAACTCTAACTGAGCTCTGCTTTCTTTCTTTTTCTGGTGAACATACTGTATTGAAAATTGTGGCTCTTGTTAGCATTCTTTTTGGGCATGTAGAAATGTTAATTGTTCCCTTTATTATTTTCACTCACAGGTTGTGATGAATAACTTAAATCCAGCGTGGAAGACCTTTAAAGTGTCCGTAAATTCTCTGTGCAGTGGAGACCAGGACCGCAGGCTAAAGGTCAGAAGTCATTCCTACTATTTTAATAGTTTTACTCACAGAAAATGAAAGTTTGTCTCCCTTTTCCAAGTGTAGATTGCTATTCTGCACTTCCCTCTTCTTTGAAGGAAAAGGTGATCGCACAACTGCTTTATGGTTACCATAATCAAATTAAGGATGCAGAGAAGTGGTAATTCACTGTAATTAATAGATTATGCTCTATATTTCTTACAGCAAACCCAAAAAGTGGTAGGGCTATTTTTTTCAATCGGTTGGATAATTTGAATCCAGGATTATTTAACTGGTGAAAGTATGCTCAAGGGAAGTGGCAACCCTAGTGCAATTTTAACTGCTATTTCCTCACTTCTATATCTGGAGACCTACCGTAAAAGAAACACTGAAATATGAGATCTGTTATTATATTTGAAGAATAAGGTTACCACAAAAAGACATGTGCCATAGTGATGGAAGAGTTACTAGTCAGCAGAAAGACAGATGGTTTGGGACTTGGAGCTTTGTGTAGAAAAATTCATCTTCTTTTGGCTAATTCAGGTTCAATCAAGGCTGTATCCCATTGTTCATATCTTCTAATCAGGCTTAAGCTTAATACTTAATTAAAAAATATCAAAGAGCACTGGTCCCCAGTGTCTGTTCAGCCTCTTGGACCTGGTAAAAGAGCACTGGACTCTAAAGTATGTCTTTTTCCCTCCCTTTTTCTTAAAATTTTTTTGCCAAATTGGTCTAATAGAATTTTCTTTTGTCCGTGCAAACATTTCTTCTTTCATCATTATAACTGCACAACCCTGCAGAAGGAGTGTTGCCATTTTTCGCTCATTACATACTGCAGGATGTGCTTTGCGGCTAGACAAAAATAAAATGCTGGTTGTGGGTATGTTACAAGGCTTGTCACAGATGGGTGCAAAGGGTAAAAGGAGTCTTATGGATGCTTGGATTGTGATTTATAACTTCACAAAATTAGCCCTGTTATTATGGAACAACAGTGGTATTGACACAGTGCTTGCATGTATATGTTTGTATGGCATTGGGGATGCATAAGGAAGGCACAGGTATAAATGTTTACTATATAAATTGTTTTTGTTCCCTGTTGCCCTGTGGCACTGTTGGGCAAACGAGATGGGTTCATGTGCCTGAAATGTGTGAAGGAAGCTCAGCATCTCAGGTGGTACAGGGAAGCAGTTCTGAAAGACCTTCCTATCTACACCTTAGCTGGTAGATGTTGTGTTTGGCACGTTCAGTGGGATTGAAATAGAGTTGTAGGAGATCAAACAGAGAATGAGCTGTACAGAAAGAACAGCTTCCATTTTAAAATGCAAGGAAAATTAACAATATTGGCTGAAGAGGATTGCAAATGAAGAAAAGTAGAGGAGTTATTTATTGTAGTATGTGTAGGATGACAGTAATATGAAGTGTTAGGATAAGGACTTTGTTATCTTGGGAGGTTGCCATTTTATAAATTTCCTGGGTAGATTAAATAGATTAATTATGTTAGTTGACTGAAACACAGAACATAAGCACATAACTCAGTGTTGTTTAAGCAACATAGACCTCCAGGAAAAGGAAAAGAGGGGGAAAAAGAGCAGCTACCATCCCGAGTAGTAATATGACTGACTCAAAGGACGGTGAAGGCCAAGGAGCACTGCCTTGGATGGCACCTCCATTGGCACCTCGGATGCCTGGGCTGCTACTTCATGACAAAATGGAAGCCCTGGAAAAAGCACAGATAGTGCATATTTGGACAATGTGTTCACATCAAAGCTCAGGCAAGGCTGGGAGCTGAGGTTTTGCTTTTGAACGGAGTGATCTATGAAAGGCTTGGAAAGGGAAGGTGAGCAGTTCTTTGATGCATTAGATAAGGGCAGGCCACTGGTGGGACATATAGACAGAGGTGACATGCCTAAAGCATGTGGGAGTGCTGTAGCTGCTGCAGCATTCTGACAGGTGAAAGGGAGCTGTGGGGGGCAAGACTAAAGAACACGGTATATTCAAAATATGAAATGCTGAGAGGCTGAAGAAGAGATGTGATGTGACAGATTACCTGTGTTATGCAGCCACTCTGAGGGTGCATCTTAGATAACCAGATGCAGAAGGTTGTAACCTGTCTCTGCCTTGTCACAAGGTCCCAAATCACCCAGTCCTCTCTATATCTGACAGCCACTTGGAGCAATCAGTTGTGCCTGGCTTTCCAGGATCTGCTTCTTGAGGTACCTTAAATTGAAATGAGTAACATCCCGTAGTAATGTGACTATATATGTTTGAGACAAGAAATGGATCAGAATTCTGCCGCTAAAATGAGAAGCAGAATGTATATGTGGCCTTTAAATCACTTAAATGAGAAAACCTAGGAAGAGAAGCAAACAAAGTGTGAAGCTTAGGATATCAGAGCAAGTGGCAAGACCGTAAGGCTAGGGGAATGTAGTTCTGCAGTGAGAGGCATGCTTTAATCTCTTTGAAGCTGAGGTGAGGAGGTATGAGAAAGGCTGAGAGAGAAAGGCTTCTATCAGCTTGGATAGAAGAAGAGGGACTGGGGAATAAAGGTGGTCTTTGAGCTGTGAGCAGAGAGATAGTAATGAAAATTGTTTGCGGATGATACTTCAAAAGAGAGGCTGAAAAGGGAGAAGTGAAGAGGAACAAGAATAGTCCTTTAGGACTGCCTGTAGAGAAGATGAGGGGAAAATCAATGAAAGTATGGCTAAAGAGAACCAGGGCAAGGTGGATCTTATGAACGTATTCAGAGTTTTCAAGACAGTTTTTTTTTCTTTTTGAGAGATTACATGGTTTTATTTGTGTATGCAAGTGTTTGCAGGCCCTGATTTAGATGTCTAATGCTTCAATTCAGTCATCTACAGAAAAGCTGAAAGTACTAAGATTTGCACCAGATCATTCATGAGTGCAGGAACATTTTAAAATTAATTATGGCTGTAAAATAAGAAAAAAAGCTTGACACTTATTTCAAATTCAAGCCCTTTATAACTTTCAGTGGGTGTAAGTCTGTTATGGTAGAGCAGTTGACAGATAACATATAGCACTTGTAAGATGATTATTTACTTCCTTTCTGTGTGGTCTATAACCTAGGAGTTTGATGGCAGTGAGGACAGAAGAGTGGAAATTATAAGAATTAGGGCGATGAAGTGTCTGTGGCTGGTATAGCACCGTATGAATGTTTATATTTTAATTTACATTGACTAAGCAGTCCACCCTTGATGCGACCATATTTTGGAACATTTGACTTTAGTTGCTTTGTTTCACTTCATAAAGTATATAGCAATATGTTTCTGCTAAGTGTTGGAAGAATTCCCCGTGTCATATTTAATGTGGGGGAGATTTAGTGTATTCCAGCTGCCTTGCTGAGCATCAGCTTCTTGCCAAGATTGCTTGATCACTGTGAGCAGTAATTGCATAAGGCTGGGTAGTTTTGCATCTATACCTGCTGTTAGTTTTTCACACACTCTGGAAAGCATAATCTGAGTTAAGGCTTAAAGAGGCATCAGCAACGCTTGGAGAGAAATATGAACTTGTGGAAATTCTGCAAGACTTCTTAACAACTGCAGACGTGCTACAACTGACTCTGCCTTTGGCTTCTCTCTGTAGGCTCTATGTAGCACTGATGTCTTGGCCTCTCATCTCTGCCTCTGAAACCCCATGGGTACGGAGATTAGTGGTCAGATTTGTGTCATGAGGAATGGGGATTAATGGGAAAAGTCCACTAAAACAATACAGATCAACTTACAGAAGTTTGATCTTCATTAGTCTTGTACCCAAAGCTGTCTTTACACTGTCTGGGCATTTGAAACTTTCTGGTTTAAATATCTGTGTAGAAAGATAAGATAAAGAAGGTCACAAAAATCAAAGCAACCAGCAATTAGAGTCTGCCTCAGAAGTCTTTTGCTAGCATCCTTTACAAAGTCTGTTAATTCGAATTCCTGATGGGCTTTTAAAAAAACTCTAATTTTGCTTTATTTAGCTGCGGTGCAGAGAACAGTGAGTATTTTATTCCTCTCAGGACGCCTTGTAAAACTTTATTGCAATTATTGCTGCTCTAGGTTTTATTATAAAAAGGATATATTAGATTTATGAACCTACAGAGTTTTTCTTCCCAGACATTGAAACCATCTGAGAAGTCTGGTCACACTTCAGTGCCGATCATACCTTCTTTTAATGCTAATGGGACAGACAAGTTGTGTATGCACTGAAGGGAACAAAATACCTCCTCGATCCAAAAGTAGAGCACTGCTTTTCTAATATGTAAAGAGCTTCAGTTCACAACAGTAATTGCTGACAAATCTGAGTGATGATTATAATCCTTCTTGGGGCAGCTTTTATCCTATTCTGCTGGGCTGAAGGTCCTGTAAATTGTGGAACTTTGGCATTCAAGTTTGGTTTCAGAGGGTGAGGTGTGTTGCTGTCAAAGCTTTATCTGAAATATAGGCTTTTATTGTGGATATTTTCTGGTAGGAATCATCTACTGTCCACCCATTCTAATAATTGCAGGGTTCCTGTTTTTCTAGAGGAGTCCTGGTAATGTACACAGAAAAATAATCTTTCAAAAATCTGTAGGTTACAATTGTATCATTCCTGTCAAGTTTTTTTATTGTTTCATCCCTGCCTAACCCAGATTGCAGATAACGATCCAAATGAGATTTGTGCATGCAGAGTTGTGAGTGGGACCCACGGCCATAGTCACCAGGGCTGCTCCTTACATCAGGTTATAAGGCCTCGGAGTGTATGAACAACTATTTGCGGCACGAAGCCCTAGGACAGCGCTGATTTTTACTTTTGGATAACCATGGCAAAGTTGCCTCTTCCTGTGTACTTCTAAGGAGGTTAAAACCTTATTCTGCCATTCTTCCCCATTCTCTCTTATGTCCAGTTGACTTCCTTGGCTCTGCCCATACGATCTATTGGAGTAGCTGTGTCTTAGCACATGAATTCTGTGTTTGGTTTTCTACTGAGGGGTCTATCAGCAAATGCTTGGAAGTCCCAGTATATCTATGATACTAGGA